TGCGTCATGTTGTGTTCACTCCTGCCCTGTCTCGTTACGATTATCTGTGTCAGCTGTGTTCCAGATGTGCTCCCACTTCCCTCGTTTACTCTCTGTGCATTTATGTCCACGTCTCCCTCGGTTCAGTGTCGCGTTCTCCCTCATGCTGTGTGTGACTCTCCCTGTGTTTCCTGGTGAGCTTTATCTTTAGTTTTTCCCAGTTTAGTTTTGTATTACTCGTGATTCGTCTTGCCAGCAGTAAAGCTGTGCTTCCTGAGTTTATTCCCCGCGTCCCCTGAGTTTTGCGTTTGGGTCCTCTCCTGCCTGCCACACAGCCTAATCATGACAGACTGCACAACAAGCCTGTGTAGAAATGTAAGGAAAGTACAGATTTTTGCCTAAATATAGGGAGTAAAAGTAACGTTTGCAGAAAAATATATACTCCAGTACATGTACCTGACAATTCTACTTAAGTACAGCAACAAAGTATTTGTACTTTGTTATCTCCCACCTCTACTCAGGCGCTGCTTTGGACTGTTCTGCTAACACTGTTGGCTTTGAGTCTGTCTCCCTGTCCATCTACACTGTTTCTGTCCAATAAAGGCTAAAAAATTTTCCTGTAAGATGCTTCACATTGAGCCGTCTGTCTTTAAACATCCTGTGCCTCAGGGGATCTTTGTTTTTACACACACAAACATTAGCTCCTGGTTTTGTTTGTTCTTGTTACCATGGGGACGTCATCTATTGATGGTTTGGAAGACTGTAACAGACAAACGTTCCCCTTGTGGTCTGAGGAGGAAGCACACACTGTATCCTGCCAGGTAACATCAACTGAAGCCTGGACAAACGTATATTACAAGTAAAGGATGGCATTAAGAGCTGTCAGTCAACAGCAACCATACTGCTGTTCAAATGAGTCCCTGTAGATTCCTGTAGGAAGGCGTCTGTGGTGCTTGTGATCTCCTGCCTGGACTAATGCAGCTCTACCCTTGTAATAAAGCACTGTTACTTTTTTATTTTTAAACCAACGAGGAATCCATGTGACAGCTTTCCAACTGAAGCTTTTTGTTTCCCTTATGAGACAACTCAGGATTGTGTCAAACTGAAGGTTTAAAGATTATTGGAAAACAAGAAACTACATTAACTGT